AAAGACAGCTCAGCTGACCACACAGGGAGCTCTGGAACTGTGCTGAGTTGGGCTGAGGTGTCCAGGTCTTGATCACACCCAGGAGCCTCACCCAATGGGCACTGGATGTCAGCCACCTCAGGAGGGTGTGTGACCTCAACAGAGGTGGCTCTTACATGCCTGATGGGGACTATCCTCCATGAAAGGAGAAAATGCATGTCAGGAGATTCTTAGCATAATCCCCACTGTGTAGTAAATGCTCAATAAAGAGTGCCTACTGGGCTTCCCTGGAGACTCAGTGGTAAAGAATCCCCCTGCCATGCTCGAGCCTGCACCTCCCTGGACACATGATCCAAACAACTCGCCTTTCCTGCTTGTATCATGACAGTGACCCGGGGCTTGCTGCCCTACATGAGGGTTCACAGTTTCAGAATGCATGCTCTTGCAGCATACCTATGAAAACTTGGCAGCCTCCAAGCTGGTGGTCTACACTAGCTGATTTCCCTACATGAAGCCAAATTCACCCACTGAGTGGGGCATTTTGATCAAGGCACTAACAGCAATGAAGAAAAATACAGTGTCTTTTTAGTTCTTGTTCTTGGATTCAGGTCTGCAATATATTAACATTATCTTCAAGGGGTCCAAAGACATCTCATCCGCCTAACATTATCCTCAAAACTCTGGATCCCCTCCAGGTATGTAAGCCGTGTGCTGGTGCATGACCTGGCAATGGACCGGAAGTGGTACTTCCTCTGCAACTCATGGCTGTCCATCGATGTTGGAGACTGTGTCCTTGACAAGGTATTTCCGGTGGCCACAGAGGAGGACAGGAAACAATTCAGGTACTGTTCTTTTTTCTTTAAAGCAAATGCTTTTTTACTTTGTTATTTCATCTCTAGAGGAGTTGCATCATAATTCAGTCTCAGCCAAATAAAAGCATGTTTCAGCTTGCAGGTCTAGGTAGCTCTGAATGTGTGATATTAATGACTAATCAGGTTTTTTGCTGTGATAGAAGGGCCCTGGAGGGACATGGACCCTTCAAGACAGAATTATCTTCAGGTGGTGATAACAGTTATGGAACAGTTATCCAAATTTCCTTACACACGTCACAGAATAATACTTTTTATAAGAGTGAACAGACTGATCTGAATGGCGATTCTACGTCTGGCCACGTGGAGCCTCTTCTTCACGCCATTTTACTCTCGATGCATTTTTCAGCGTCTCCCATGCTTTCCTCACTCCCTCATCCCCTTCCCTGTCGTGTGCCCTTCGACATCCGCTCCCAGACACACATAAGCAGACACAAATGTACACCCCTGTGCACCCACCCACACAGGGCACCACATACTGCTGTTTATCTTGTATCTTTTAAAACAGCATGTTATCCTGAATATGTTGCCTTTTTTCTTTTAAAGGACTTTCCTGGTGGCTCAGATGGTAAAGCGTCTGCCTACAATGCAGGAGACCCAGGTTCAATCCCTGGGTCAGGAAGATCTCCTGGAGAAGGAAATGGCAACCCACTCCAGTATTCTTACCTGGAAAATCCCATGGACGGAGGAGCCTGTAGGCTATAGTCTATGGGGTCGCAAAGAGTCAAACACGACTGAGTGACTTCACTTTCACTTTTCACTTTTTTCTTTAATAATATATCACACACATCCTTCTGAGGGTCAAACTTCTGAGTCAAACTTTCCTTATTGGCTGCATGATATTCCACAGAATGGATGACCCACAATTTTCCTACACACAGGCATTCGGTCTACTTCTAGTGTATCTACCGAAAGGCGACATTTCCTCCCAGCTGCCACTGGGAGCAGCTCAGCCTCCAAGGGGGAAGAAGTCTGAACCAGAGAGACTTGGACCCCAACAGAGGCATAAAACAGATGTGGACACAGGTCATAAAGTCCCACACGCCTGCTAGTGACTCGCTGTGTGACCTTGGATAAGTCACGCACTTCCCCAGGTCTCAGCTTCCGCATCTGAAAACTGACCAATCAATGTGCATACCCCACAGTGGGCCCCGGGGCCCATGGAACGATGTGGTAATGTGCTTGGCACACTGTGCGGTTCAGGCTAAGTACTCAGTTCCAGGAGCAGAGCTTATCTCCAACCGCATCAGCACACGTGATGCCGAGAAGCCAGGCAACGAGCTCTCTGACGACAGGAGCTTCTCATCCCTGTGAAACCTGGGGGCCCAGCACACAGCCTGGGACACAGGACTGGGGGCATCAAACATTTGCTGAATAAGACAAATAACATGGACACTGTTGCTGGCAACTGACCTCTCTCTCTTTCTTCACCTTTACTCTGAGTCCAGGGCATCCACACTCCCTCGAGTGACAGTCAAAGTATTGTACAACCCTGAAGGGTGCTGGCACTGACCAATCAGAACAAGCGATAGTAGGAAATCTCTGCTCTGGACACTCTATTAGCAGAAACTGCACCTTTGAAAAGCTCCTGAGGTTGAACTACATTCTACTCACAGGGAAATAATACAGATCCTTTACGAGAATGTGATGCCTTTTCTGAGACCCTGTCTTTACGAGAATGTGATGCCTTTTCTGAGACCCTGTCTCACAATTTTTACTCTCTCAATTCAGTCTGAATCCAAAGCCTGGGATTTTTAACCACTATTCTTTAATGCTCTAATTATAACAAAGCAAATAATATTAAAGAGTTATATTATTATATAAAAATTTTAACAAAAATTATTGCTAACACTGATGAATACTTACCTGTATGTCAGCTACTTTGCCAAATGCTTTTATCACTTATAATCCTTTCAACAATCCAGTGAAGCACTTTCTGTTATTAACCACCTCCCCGCCATTTTACAGATAAGTAAACTGAGGTACAAAAAGTAAAATAACTTGCCTGAGGTCACACAGTAGGTAAGAGGCCTGTCCAGGGTTCCAACCACTCTGTCCAGAGTCCCCATCACTAATTCTAAATGATGCTACTATGATGCTGTATTTCTTCTATAACAGAAAAAAACAGATGAAGAATTTAGAAATAAATCCTCCCTCTCAGTCCAGGATTGCTCCAAAAAGACCAGGCTTCTCCCCTATTCCTGCCTCCCTAAACGCCTGTCCCTCTCCCTTGGTCTGTCCACAGCCACCTATTTTTCATGAAGACCTCCAAAGGCTTCCAGGATGGCCACATTTGGTGCTCCATCTTCAGCAGCTCAGCTCGGAGCAACTTCACACGTGTCCAGAGGGTGTCCTGCTGTTTCTCACTGCTCCTCTGCACCATGCTGACCAGCATCATGTTCTGGGGTGTCCCCAAGGACCCAGCTGAGCAAAAGATGGACTTGGGTAACTCCCACTCTCAAGGCATGGAGATCAGGGTTGCTGGCAGTAGACATGAGTTGTCACTGCCCCAGAAATGCCATGCAATTCTAGAGGTTTCAAGACTACCCTGAAGTTCAATAACTCATTAGAAGGACTCAGAAGTCAGAAATGCCATTATACTCATAATTATTAGAGAAAGGATATAGATCAAAATCAGAGGCATGTGGGGCAGGAACCATGGGAGACTAGGCACTGAGCTTCCAGTGGAGTCTGGATGGCACTCACTCCTCCAGACAATGACATGTGATCACACGTGCAGAGTAATGCCAACCACGGATCCTCTCTTGAGCCTTAGTGTCTAGTTTTTATTGGAGCACGCTAACATAGACATGGCTGACCCTGGATGACTGACCTAAGATTCCAGCTCCTCTAGGCATTGAGGTGATACAGGGCAACCAAGGCCCCCACCATAAATCACATTGTTAGCACAGAGTATACCAGATGGCCCAAGACGCCAGGTAAACAAAGGCATACCCACCATGCAGGACATCCCAAGGGCTTAGTGGTCACTACTCCCCCAGCCCCCAGCCTTGGAGCCATTCAAGGGGCAGACCTCTCTTTAGGCAAGGTTAACCCTTGCTGCACAGCCACATTCTGGGAGGGGTGGAGGGGACTCTCTCCTTGACCCCTGCCCTCCATCTGCCCCAGGTCAAATCGAGTTCACTTGGCAGGAAGTGATGATTGGGCTGGAGAGCTCACTCCTCATGTTCCCCATCAACCTCCTGATCGTTCAGATCTTTCGGAATACCCGTCCTTGGGTAGCCAAGGAGCAGAATGCTGGGAAATGGGACGGGAGACGCCTCAGCCTGGCGCCCTCACCACAGCCCATGGAGGATGGCCTTCTGACGCCTGAAGCAGTGACCAAGGCAGGTCTCAACCCCGGAAGCATAGGGGGACCTCTAGCCTGGGAAGAAGTTGGGGTGGGGACTGGGGTTTGAGGCCTGCAGTCCATGTTGTCTGACAGCATCGGTCACCAAGATTCATCAACTGCACACACACGCACACACACACATATGCAAACATGTGTACATGACATGTACACATGCATGCACACACATGCCACATGTACACACATTCACACAAACCATGGATACATTCACAAACATGTATATATGTACACAAAGTACATCTGCACAGTGCACCCATGTACACATGCACACACGTACCCACACGAACGCTTACATACATGCCACATGTACACATTCATACACACCACGCATCTACAACACATACATATATGCAAACAATATGCACACATCACACACATGTACACACATGTGTACAGATGCACATGTTTATACACATGTACTCATGTGCAAGCAAAGACCTACAACATACATTTACACATGCACAGATACCTTTTTTGGGTACCTACTCTGTACAAAATATATACTTTCACTACAGATCACAGGCTAGAAGTACACAGAAAGAATTCCCTCTGTATTCATGCACTCATTAAGCATTTATTGAGCACCTACTATGTGCCACACTTTGAGGAATATAGCCTGAAATATGTCAGTTGGAATCCTAGAAGAGAGATTTTATGCAGGACAAAACAGAAGCTCAAGGTGGTCCAAGGTCATGTCTCAGTAGGCAGACCTGGGATCAGACCCAGAATGTACAGCCCCAGGGTGAGTGCTCTTGATTACTCTGCTATCCCCTTACCTGTGGCTCACATCCTGTTCCCACTGGGTGACTTGCAGGATCTGTGGAGACTTGTCAGCTCCCTGTTCAAAGCTCTGAAGGTGCCACCCCCTCTCTTGGGCTGGGACTCCACAAACTCAATGAACATCAACCAACTGCTGGCCTTGATGGAAGACGTCATCTGTCGACAGAACAAAGCAGGGCAGGTCTTCTCAGACGAAGTCAGCCAGACAGGGGCCTCTTTAACACTCACTCTTGGGTCAGTACAAGTAAAAGGTGAGTCTTGATATTTCTCTGCTTTGAGGGGGCATGTTGGAGCCAGGTGGATGCAGGACTGAGGGTCATGTCTGTATCACTAGGGGCTCAAGAAGTCGTCCCAGGGTCTCCCTCACCAGCCTCCACTCCAACCACTCACCACAGCCTCCCTCTCTGTACTGCAGGCAGCCTGGTCTCCACATAATTCCAAGGTGCCTTCCCATGAAGGCCTGTGCACATTGTTGGTCCTCTGATCTAGAATGTTCTCTCTCCTCTCTTCTCTTGGCTAATACCTACTCAGCCTTTATTCTTGGCTGACCTGTCCTTTCCTCAGAGGAGCAACTCAACCACTCAGCCCACAAGAGGGTCTCCAGCCATGTGCTCTTTAGCCCCTAAGCATCTCCTGCACTGCTTCACATTGCTTGTTGCTGAATCATGAATTACGTGGAGAGCTGCACATGTGTACTGCACATTATTCTGGTCTGAACTAGTCTGACTCCCCTCTTGCACCTTTCCACCTAGATCACTATCTCCAGTGCTTAGACCAGTTGTCCCATAGGACGTTTCACAGTGACAGGAATGGTCTATGTTTCCATTGACCAATATGGCAGCCACCGGCCACAAGAAGCTATTGGCACACTTGAAACGTGGCCAGTGTGACTAGGGAACTAAATTGGTCTTATTTTAATTTAAATAGTCACACAGGGCAAGAGGCTACCATATTTGGTGGTGTGGCTTAAGTATGCTGCCATTTTTTTTTTTATTTTTTTTTTATTTTTATTTTTATTTTTTTTATGCTGCCATTTTTAACACACAAGGCTGATCAATGTCTTAACCTTCTTTAGAATACAAAAATGGGCTCTATAGATTGGGAGTTTGAATTCATAACTCTTCGGGCCACTTCTGATACAATGGATTAAATTTTCTGGAGTGAGGCCAGGAATCTGCATTTTTAACCAGTTACTTTGGTGACTGTTATGTGGACTGAATGTTGAGAGCCACCACCATCAAGACAAGGTCCCAGTTCCTTACTGGAGCACTCAAAGCCCACCTGGCCAGGCCTATGCTGACCCCATGGTCAGGCCCATTTTGACCCCTGTGTTCCAGCCACGCTGGAAGATTAGCCCCAGAGAGCTGGGCTCCGGCTGCCTGTGAAGGTCGTCCCCACAGGAGCTCTGCTGATGCCCACACTGGACACTTGGTCCTGTTTGGGGGTCTTTGGGGTTTGGGGGCATAGGCAATCACAGCATGGGCCTTAGAACAAGGGCTCTGGAGTTGGTCAGACCTAGGGCTTTCCCACATGCAAGAGCAGCTGTGCAGCTTTGGACAGCTGGTCAACCTCCCTGAGAAAACCATTTCCTCCCCTGTAAAATGGAAGCATTGATCCAGTCCTCTCCTTGGCTGGTTCTGAGGACTCAGTGAGGTTATTTGACACGTGAACTGCTTAGACCCGAGGCTGACACAGAGCAGGATTCAGTAAGTGGTTATGATTGGGAGTGATGGCATCTTCCGGAAACACTGCCAGAATGCTTGCAACACCAAGGCTGTTGATGCTGGACACTTTAGCTGTGGCATCAGTGAGGGAGGCCCAGGAAGGAGGGGAAGGTAGGAGGCCTGGGATGAGTCAAGGGAGGCAGGGTCCGTGTCGCCATGCCTTTACCCACAGCTGGTCTGCGTTTCTACTTTCTCCACATCACTTATTTTCTCAGTCACTTCTCACTCGTGACTGGAGAGGGGTCCTGGAGCCAGGGTGCTCCATCGTGCCAGCTTCTATATCCAGTTACATGCACCCTTTATGAAAATGAACTCTGGTCCAGACCTGGGCCCTTCTTGCCCAGGAGAAAGCCCTGAGGGTGCCGGTCTCCCATCTCAGGGTCCAGGGACCCAGGCCAGGCTCTACCTGCAGAGGCCAGGCTTCCCTTAGAAGGTATGGGGAAACAGTGGAAAGGGTCAAAAGTGTGTTCTTCTTGCATGGATATGTTTTACCTCTGTAATTTAAGACATAAAACACCTTTGCTCTTTTAAACACGTTTTAGGAAATGAAATTTGAAGAAAAGAATTGGAGAAGAACATTCAGAAGTAATCAAGGGAAACTTTTTCACTGGCTGTTTCAGGCTGTTAAGGAATTATTATTAATTGTTTTAAAAATTAATAATGACACTGGTTTTGTTTTTAAAAGGAGCCCTTTCCCGATACAGGAGAATATTTAGTGTCAGGACATGGGGCTTGGAATTTAGATGAGATATGACTGGCCATGAGGAGACAATTTTGAGCAATGGGTACAGATTCATCTCATTCTCTTTTCCAATTTAGAATTTTTCATAATAAAAAAACTAAAAACAAAAGATCAAGATTTATACCATCTTTGGCAACAGGCAAACTTGGCTTCAAATTAAAATCTTGTATATATTAAAATATTTGCAGATGACAGAACTCTGTGTCTAGGATTTGCTTTTTATATACTCCAGAAATTAAAAAAAAAAAAAAAAAAACATTGTGGGGCAGAGACAAGACTGACAAAATGTGGGTATATGCTGTGGGAGGGCAATAGGTATATTATTCTCATCTCTTCTAAGTGTAAGGAAATTTTGAAAATGCCCTTGGTAAAAGACAAGCAGTGTGTGTGCTCAGTTGCTCAGTTGTGTCTGATTCTTTGTGGACCCATGGACATGGACATGGACCCTGGCATGATCTTCTGTCCATGGGATTTTCGGGCAAGAAGAAGTACATTCAAATCCTAACTGACTGTGTGGGCTGAGTACCCCATCTTTCTGAATCTCAGATTTCTCATGGCCTGGCATATCGAAAGTGCTTGATATAAGAAAATCATCATCAACACTCCTGTTTCTTTTGCAGGCAGTCTACTCTGTCACTCAGCACCAGCTGATGCTCTTTCTCTCCCTTGTCCTCCAGAAAACATGCAGCGCCTCAGGCCCAAGGTGGGCCCAAGTGAAGGCTGGAAGAACAGTGCCTACCGGCAGTGTCTCTACCTTCAGCTGGAGCACCTGGAGCAAGGGCTGCTGCTGCTGGAGGCCCAGGGCTCCTCCCAGGGTCAGAGCCACACCAGGGCACTAGGGCAGCTGCAGGCCCTGAAGGGCTGTCTGGTGGCCCGGGCTGGCACCCTGCCCCCAGCACACTCCAGGTACTCCACTCCCCTGGTGCTCCCAGCCAAGGGGCCTGCCGGGAGAGCATCTGGGCAACTTCCGAGGGTTATTCATCCAGATCTCCCCAGGAAGCAGCGACTCGGGACTCGTGGGCAAATTCAGGGAAGAGGACTTTGGACAGGGTGATTTTACCAGATGACCGTTGGAGCCCTTTGTATAGCATTTTACAGTTTATAAACATGGTCACATGGGTGTTTCAAGGCTGCATGCTTAGACAAGTCCCTCAACCTCTCTGAGCCATGTTTTCCCTATCTGTAATATGGGAATGATAACACCTATCTCTTGGTCCAGACCTAAAAAGAATTTAAAAGGTCCTGGCCCATAAAGAGCAGTATCACTCAGGACATCTACAAAGAATACAGGCTAGGTGTGGAAGGGCCTGGAGACAGAGTCCTCTCCAGAGTCCTCTTGACCTGGCACAGTAAGCATTTGTTTACCAAACATCTGCTTTCATCTCCAGGTGAACTGCCTTCCTCCCCTTTGAGGTCCCAAGCTCCAACCCACTTCTCAGATGCTCACAACCTTCAATTGCCTAACTTGTCCTTGGGTCTTAAATTCTTATGAAGCCCCATACATATGTAATTAAATTTGCTTTTTCTCCTGTTAATCTGTCTCATGTCAATTTAATTTAAACCAGCCAGAAGAATCTAGAAAGGGTAGAAGGAAATTTTCTTTTTTTTCTCCAACAGTAGCACCATAACTGAGTGAGAAAATGACCATTTTTGAGATGTAGTCTGAAATAATTGGTGACAATTTTATATCATGTGTGGAATTTATTTTTAAATATTTCAGGGGGGAAAATGTGGAAATAGATGAAATAAGTGACAAGGAGGTGATGGTTGTTGAAAGTAGTTGATGAGGGTTCCGTCTACTCACTGATTTTTGTATAATGGGGACTTTTCATAATAAAAACAATTATATAGTACCAGCCTTCTAGGCTTGCCATCTGTATAAAGCAGTCTGTATGGGGACTGGCTCCTAGTAAGCATTGAATAAAGATGACCTCAATAGCATATGTGTATGTATATCAGACAGAATACAGAACAGGACAGAGGAGAAAACTGAGGGTCTAAGGGGTCAAGGAGCTTGACCAAGTCACGCAGCTGGTGGAGGTGGAGTAGGAGTTGAACTTGAGCCCAAATGGGGCCACACTGATTATATCCACCCTCTCCTGCAGTTTCTTGCAGGCAAGCAAGCTCCCTCGAGGCCTGCCCTGGTGGTGTGTCCTGGTGGGCTGGCTCCTGGTGGTAGTCACAAGTTATATGCTGTGGGAGGGCAATAGGTATATTATTCTCATCTCTTCTAAGTGTAAGGAAATTTTGAAAATGCCCTTGGTAAAAGACAAGCAGTGTGTGTGCTCAGTTGCTCAGTTGTGTCTGATTCTTTGTGGACCCATGGACATGGACATGGACCCTGGCATGATCTTCTGTCCATGGGATTTTCGGGCAAGAAGAAGTACATTCAAATCCTAACTGACTGTGTGGGCTGAGTACCCCATCTTTCTGAATCTCAGATTTCTCATGGCCTGGCATATCGAAAGTGCTTGATATAAGAAAATCATCATCAACACTCCTGTTTCTTTTGCAGGCAGTCTACTCTGTCACTCAGCACCAGCTGATGCTCTTTCTCTCCCTTGTCCTCCAGAAAACATGCAGCGCCTCAGGCCCAAGGTGGGCCCAAGTGAAGGCTGGAAGAACAGTGCCTACCGGCAGTGTCTCTACCTTCAGCTGGAGCACCTGGAGCAAGGGCTGCTGCTGCTGGA